GAATTGTCTACATGTGTAAGTCTTTCACCAGAGCAGTCCTCAATTCCGGATGTATACATTAGGTTCACTGGAGACCTTTGTAAAAATGCCAACTCTGGGGTCCCATCTCAAAGTACTTAAATCAGAATCCCTTGGGGGTTGGGGGGCCTGGGCACGGACATTTTTTAATGGCTCCCTGGTGCCATGTGCAGCCAGGGTTGGGAATCACTGGGTAGGGGGGCAAGGACCATGTCTGCTGCTTATCTATGACTTCATCCCTCGTGCTGACCACTTAGCAGTGTCTGCACAGAGTAGGCACTTGATAAATGGCAACAGTACTTATGATTGTTGTTTTTGCTATGGTTGATAGGGTTATGATTACAAAGATCATTAAACCATATGACATTTTTTCACATTTTTGGCCTCTGTGATTCTTTGCCACAGAACTCTAAAAAATAATAATAATAAAACTGTAGTAACCAAATCATCTTTTAAAAATTCAATGAGTTTCTATTTTCCTGTCAACATAGAGCTTCGATTAAGGATTGACCAGAACCTACTAGACATGTTTTTACTAAAAGCTGTATCTCCAAAATGAAACAAAATACAGTATACTTAAAAATCCAATTCATATCATACAATGCCCTTTTATGCAGATATATATTAGAAATTACAGTCATTAGTGACTTTCTGATTTTGTAATGATATGAATTAATTGGATTGACCACTGTGACATCATTCTGATCCTATTTGATTTCACAATTCTCTGTTCATTTTTCTCTCCTGTCACATTAACTGTCTTGTCACGTAAATGTCAAACCACCACCCACCACAGCTCAGTGGTTAGTTCTGAAGTTTCTTCTGCTTGCTGCTTTCCTGTTCAGCCCCATGTCAGAGGGGAGGCCCTGGACAACTTCTCCTTTAAAGAACCTTCTAAACACATGGTTTCTCTAATCCAATTCTTAACCAACAACCTGCATCAGAATCACCTGGAAGGCTTATTACAACTGCTTGACCCCATCCTCAGAGTTTCTGATTCATTAAGTCTGAGGTGAGGTCAGGGCATCTGCATTTCTAACAAGTTGCTAGGTGATGCTCTGCTGCAGGTCCAGGGACTACACTTTGAGAACCACTGCTTTAATTCATAACACACATAAGTAACCCCCTAATTAATGGCGGATGAGAGGGGGAGAAAGAGAGTGAAGAGCAAGTGTGAGGCCTTTTAGGGATACAGGGGGTGAAGACTACCCAAGTTATTCTCTATACTTAAAGCCCAACCAGGGGCCTTTTTCCCATAATTTTAGGGGGATATTCCCTGCATTTTTTTTTATAAACAACTCAACATATCTCATCCATACTTCTCTTTTTATAAGAAAGAGATTATGTAGGGGCAGCAGGCCTCCAGTCTATTCCTTATTAGGCAATTCCCTCGGTCACTATTAGCCTGCTTTTTAGAAGCAGTTCTAGTTCACCATCCTTGAAGTCAGCCAGTTTAATGAAATTGCTTTTGGGACTGTTTAACACAATGGTGGGAGGGGAACTGAAATAGCAGTGAGGAAATTGCTAAGAAGCTATTCAAAGAAACAAGCTTCAAAATCATTTTAGGAGGTTTCAGCTGGTGTTGGGAGGAAGCAATGATGTAAGGAATCCCAAGGCACCCCAAAGAAAGCATAGTAAGCCCAAGACCAGTACCCTGGCAAGATGCTGGGCACACAAGCATGGTACTATGATTGGAATACATAGCCAGAGTGAACGCAACATTTCAGCCTTTGCAGTTACGCACACCAAAGCCATGAATTCAGATGAATGCAGAGCACATCTTTACTCTGCAGGAAGAGTAACTAGGATAACAAATGGTTTCCCGTGTTGCCTTCATTGCTGGGTGTTAAACAAAAATTATAGGAGGCCACTGTTTTGGACTAAACTCCTGCACTAGGCCCCAACAGACCAGACTAAAAACCAAAATAGAGTCACTTATCTAAGATTCTGCTTCTCCAAACCTTGAGTTTGTTATCTGGCCTTCTGTGAAATCAGGAGAGAGAGGCAACAGCCTAATTTCTCAACAGGCCAGTTTCAGTCTTCAATTGGCAATCATGAAGTTCCCTCTGTTTTAATTCTTACAACAGAGTAACCTGATGTTAACCAATCAGTTATCTTTCCATCTTTCTATCTCCCTATCCCCACAATGAAAGTAACTTTGAAATAACCAATCTACTTTTTGTTCTTTGTTTCTGCTTTCTTCAGCCCTTTCTCTGTCTAGAAAACCTGCCGCATCTGGTCAACTCATTGGAACACTTACTTTATGTTATGGAATGAAGTGTTGCCCAATTCTAAAATCGCGATAAAGCCTATTGAGATGTTTAAACTAAATTTGTTGTAATTTTGTCTTTTGACAGGGGCCTATGGGGCACTCGGGTGACCAACCATCCCAGTTTCCCTGGGATTGTCCTGGTTTTAACACTGAAAGTGCTGCATCCCAAAAAACCTCTCAGTCCCAGGCAAACCAGGGTGGGTTGTCAGATGGACACTCCCATCTTCTTCAGCTGCGCTTTCTTCTCATACCATTCCCACTCAGTCACACTTTTTTTGATGTTTTTTTACTGGCCATCAGAGAAATGCAAATCAAAACCACAATGAGCTACCATCTCACACCAGTTAGAATGGCGATCATTAAAAAGTCAGGAAACAACAGGTGCTGGAGAGGATGTGGAGAAATAGGAACACTTTTACACTGTTGGTGGGATTGTAAACTAGTTCAACCATTATGGAAAACAGTATGGCAATTCCTCAAGGATCTAGAACTAGATGTACCATATGACCCAGCCATCCCATTACTGGGTATATACCCAAAGGATTATAAATCATGCTGCTATAAAGACACATGCACACGTATGTTTATTGCGGCACTATTCACAATAGCAAAGACTTGGAATCAACCCAAATGTCCATCAGTGACAGACTGGATTAAGAAAATCTGGCACATATACATCATGGAATACTATGCAGCCATAAAAAAGGATGAGTTTGTGTCCTTTGTAGGGACATGGATGCAGCTGGAAACCATCATTCTTAGCAAACTATCACAAGAACAGAAAACCAAATACCGCATGTTCTCACTCATAGGTGGGAACTGAACAATGAGATCACTTGGACTCGGGAAGGGGAACATCACACACCGGGGCCTATCATGGGGAGGGGGGAGGGGGGAGGGATTGCATTGGGAGTTATACCTGATGTAAATGGCGAGTTGATGGGTACTGACGAGTTGATGGGTGCAGCACAGCAACATGGCACAAGTATACATATGTAACAAACCTGCATGTTATGCACATGTACCCTAGAACTTAAAGTATAATAATAAATTAATTAATTAATTAATTAATTAAATAAAATTTAAAAAAAAAAAAAAAAAAACTATGCAAGGCACCCTCTCCTCTAAGCTGCGCTGTCTCCTAGTAAGCTCTGGCACTTTTAGTCTCTCTTAAGCAATTCTCTTTACTCCCCTGAGCTCAGTTTTGTACCTGACTTCACTGTCATCTTCAGGTTTTCCACCATGCTGGCTTCTAAAATAGCCCCCATGAACACGATTTCTTTTTTTCGGACCAAAAAAAATCTCAAAGTTGAAAGGATCCTTAGAGTTCATGCACTCTGGAGTTCCCTGGGGACTTTCTGTAGTCCTGCCTGGGGCAATTGCATCAGAATCTCTGGCATGGGGACCAGGCACTGTTCACTTTTAACACCCCCACCTCCTGCCAGGTGATTCTAACGTACAGCCAAGGTTCTCCCCTTGTGAACCTCTGACTTAGTCCAACTCCTTCCAAGTGGCAATCCTGTGTAGAAGATGGGTATTTACCCTCTGCAGTAAAATTCTCCACTGTTGGGACAGAAGTGCAAATCCACATAGTCCAAGCCATTGCCAGACATGTCTAACTGTTAGCAATCTATCTCAACCCAAGTTCTGTTTCATTCTAACTTCCACTCTCTGATCCCAGCTCAAAGCTACAAAGCAAGTTAGAATTTGTTTACTTCATTAAAAATTTGTTTTTCAAGTCCTCAAGGGTTGCCAGTATATAAACCCCATCCTCAAGTCCCCTATTCTTCAGGCTAAATCGCTCAAGCTCCATTTACCATTCTTCACATATCATGATTTTCAGATTTTATGTCACCTTAATTACCCTCCAGTAGATGCCCTTCAGTTTGTAATGTCCATCTCAAAATACATTGCTCTGAACTGAATACAGCAGATATAGTGAAGTTATTATAGCCCTTCATCTGGAAACTAAACATTAATTAACACTGTTTAAATATGACTCATCATTTTAGATACTCATACTGAGGGCTATGGTCTGGTAAAACCTACAGATCTTCACATGAACTACCTTCAAGTCAGGAATCTCACCTTGTGTGTATCAATTAAATGTCAACCTATGGTTTCAGCTCATTTTTCCAGCCTGATGATACTTGACCCTTTTATGTAATACATTGCAGTCTCACTAAAAGCTATGTACTGTTAGCAAATCTGCTAAGCATGCTTTCTAAATTTTCGGTCCCATGTCATTGATAAATTGTGCCATGTAAGACAACAACAAGGTCAGAATCTTGTGGTATATTTCCCTACCACCTTTCTTTAAGGAAGATTTCAAACTATTTATCAACATGATTTGGCCATGGTTCATGTTAGTACCAATCCTTTTAGTTCATTCTTATCCAATCTCTATTTCTCCAACTCATCTTTAAGCATATCATGAAAGACTCTGCTATACATTTTTTTCATACTGAAGTATTCACAAGTAAAATGATATAATGTCTGAGATTTGCTTAGACTAGTCCAATAACAACAAAAAGGTATGGTTGGGAGGAAAGTGACAGATGAAACAAAAAAAAATCTGACTATTGATAGTTTGTGATGATAGGTAATGGGTATATAATGGTTTATTATATTATTCTCTTCATCTTGTATTTGTTTGAAAATTTCTACAACTAAAAAACATTTTTAAACTCTTTTTTTATCCTCAAATGAGTTATGTTTGCCTCGCACTAATAACTTTTATTTCACTCAAATTAGAGCAATAATCTTCCATACATATCTTCCCTGCCCAATTCAAAGAAAAAAAATCCAAAATGATTAGTAAAGAAAAATATAAGAATTAACAGACCCTTTAAATTTGTTTTACATATTTTGAATATTTAAAAAGTGTTTAAAGTTTGTAATTCCTAGTAGGAAAACATTATCTGAATGAATACCCTAATGGCAAACCACTGTAAAATGCTTCAGCTGAATTTGGGGGAGAGGGGTAGGGATTATCTTCAAAGCACCCCAGCTCTCTTGATGAGAAGGTCAGAGGTACACTGGTTTGTATTATTGCGACATCCATAAGGTGATCTAGGTTGCTTTTCCTTCAGCAAGGGCTTTATTTATCAGAAGGGCATTACGCTTGACCTCCAAATTTGGCTGACAATTTACTGATGAGATTCATAACCTTTGGGTTGCTCTGGTATTTTGACATATTTGCTGGGTTCTGAGCCACATCCTGGAAGGCCACCATAACTTCTGGATCCTGCATGGCTGCAAGAACCTCTGGATCACTAAGAATTTCATTCAGTCCAGGCATTCCAGCCATTCCAGGCATGGCCCCTCCCATTCCAAGCATTCCACCGGGAAAACTACCAGGAAAGCCACCTGGAAAAGAGCCATACTGAGCTCCTGACTGTCGTCTGGCTTCTTCCTCCCTCTGGGCTCTCTCATGCTCTTCTTGAGCCTTCTTAACTCGTTCTATTCTTTCTTTGATCTCTCGCTCTTCACATTTTCGCTCATACTTTCTCCGATGTTCTGCAATTTTCTGTGCCCTAGGTTGAACTTCTTTCAGCATTGCGCTAGCATCTTCATCATAATCCAATTTACAGGCAAGGGCAAGATCATGGGCTGCTTCTTCCCAGTGGCCTAGAAGTCTGTGTGCTTTTTCCCTCACCACTTGTAAGGCTGAGCTGAATCAGGATTTATCTCAATGGCTCTGTCACAGTCTCGGATAGCAGCATTTGGCTTCTGTAATTTGACGAAGACACTGGCCCTCTTGGCATACAAAATGGCCAAGTGAGGATTCAGCTTGATGGCATCTGTGAATAAGTCGATGGCTTTCTGGAGTTCACCATCATTTAGGGCTTCAATAGCAGCCACTTTTTTATCATTTGCCTGATCCATCATCTCCTCCATTATCTCTGCATTTTCATCTCCCATTTCTTGAGGAGAATCAGTGTCTGGTTCAATCACACCTTCTTTATCAATTTCTAGATCACTTTCCTCACTTGATGGTTCATCTGCCTTTAAGTCTTCCTCCACCTTCTTACTATCAGGTTTTTCTTCCTTGGTATTTTCTTCTGATTTAGCTTTCTGAGTAGCAGGTGGTACTTTACCCCCCATGCTCTCCACCCACTCTCTCAGGAAGCGCATTTCCTCAGTGTGCAGAATGCTCAGATCCTGCTTACACATTTTCACAAAGGCCTGAAGCTCGTTCACTTTGCGGGGGTCCATGGTAGAGAGGTGGTGGGTGAAGCTGGGGGACTACGGCCCTGTTCCAGGCCCAGGCGCTGGCTTGGCGTGACCGCGCAGAAGGGCCATTTTTAAACTCTTGATGAAATAAACTTCGGTTAGCCCTTGAACAACATGGAAGTTGGGGGTACTGACCTCCATGGAGTTGAAAATCTGCATGTAACTTTTGACTCCTCAAAAACTTAACTAACAGTCTGTTGACCAATAACATACACAGTCAATTTACACATATTTTCTATTTTACATGTATTATATACTGCATAAAAGATTATACTTATAATAAAGTAAGTTACATAAAAGAAAATGTTATTAAGAAAATCGTAAAGAAGAGAAAATACATTATAGTCCTGTACTGTATTTATCAATATGGTAAGTTTGCAAGATCCCCCATCTACAAGATGAATCATCTGTCTGAAGTGGTGAGCAACCACAGCTGCAGACCTCAACCCACAGTTCATATCAACTTTTTCTTGTAATGTCATCAGTCATGACTTTTCTCTGCTTCTTGAGAGCACTTCCAATATCACTCATGGTACTTTGCATGGGTCCTATGGTGTTATTCAAAATTTACAGTGTTGCACTAAACACAATGAAAAATACTCAAAATACTTGAGAACCATGAGAGATCATTTTTACTGCAATATGCAATTTATGGCATTCTAGGCAGATACTTACAACACCTGAGCTCACTGTAATAGCTAGAGGAAATGGCTACAAAATTATTACAGTAGTACAGTATGTACTGCAGTTAATTTTATGCAGTTATGACTTAATATTGCATCTTTATATTTGTTTAAATTTCTCTCAACTGTAAGTGGTATCATGCATGGTCTGTAATTGTGTTAGCTTTGATAAATGTTAACTTTTTATAATAGATTTGTGTATATTTCGTGGTAGTAATGACAGAATAGACTAATATCTACATATATTTTGTGCATTCATGGCATACCTTTTACCTAAATTTTTTCAATATTTCTAGGCTATATGGTTCATCTTTGAGTTTTTCCAATTGTTTCAAAGTGGACCCATATAATTCAAACCTGTGTTGTGCAAGGGTCAACTGTACACTGTTTCTATGAATTTGAGAGACTGCCAAAATTTCTTAACCCTAGAGCCCTTCTAAATATTTCACAAATTAGAGTAATTTGATGTAAGTTGATTCAATAAATGCAAGCCAGTTTCCAGTGACTGGAGCTTTCTTTTTTAGGTGCTAACAAATCTTCCATATTTATTTTAAGACTTTGCCAAGTATGAACTCATACGGAGTTTCCTGGATACATTCTCTTTCATCTTTTACTATTTAGATTACCAATTCCAATAATTTAAAGAGCATATCTCTCTAAAATTCTTTAAACTCATTTAGAAAAGTCAAGGGCTCTCAATAAATTCTCATCCATTTCAATGACTTCTTAATTGTGTATGTTTTACTTTGTACTGATTGAACTCCATTTTTCTAGATGGAAGCAAAACAGAAGTTCAGAGGTTCCAATTCCTTTGCATTATCCATGATCACTGTGCATCCCTCTTCCTGTTCATGTTCTTGCACTGAACTGTAACCAAAATAACTTTTGTTATCTTTAGCATTTTTTCCTCCATGCCTCATCGCCAGCAGATATTTAGTCCAAGCGATACTACTTTTTAAAGAATTATCCTAGCTTCTAAACATTCTTCTCAATTACTTGCCATCCCTTTCTCTATTGTACAAATCCTTGGAGGAAAGCTGTTTATTTTATAAAAGCCATAGTCACCATAGAAATTTTTAGAAAATAGAGAAAACAATATATAAGAAAATTAAACTCACCCTACTTTCTGGCCTCCTCGTAAAGTTCCTCTGATCAAATAAGTGTTTTAACTGCTTTTCACTTTTCTCATCCATTATGATTATTTATTATTGTATAATCAGATTTCTCATTTAGTTATTTCTTTTTTAGACTTGCTTTTCTTCTTCTTTTTTTTTTTTTTTTTTTTTTTTTTTGACAGAGTCTCACTTTGTCGCCCAGGCTGCAGTGCTGTGGCACAAATCTCAGCTCACTGCAGCCTCCACCCTCCACCTCCCATGTTCAAGCGATTCTCCTGCCTCAGCCTCCAAAGTAGCTGGGATTACAGGTGCCAACCACCATACCCAGCTAATTTTGTATTTTTAGTAGAAATGGGGTTTCACCATGTTGGCCAGGCTGGTCTCGAACTCCTGACCTCAAATGATCCACCCACCTCCACTTCCCAAAGTGCTGGGATTACAGGCGTGAGCCACTGTGCCTGGCCTAGACTCATCTTTTAAAGCCATATTCTTTTTAGTAAATTTGATCATGAAAATTCATCTATCATTTTCTGGTTTTGTTTTAAAATTTTATTTATGCACATATTTATTTTCAAATCTGCCTTATTAAAAAATTGAGGCGGCCAGGCGCGATGGCTCAAGCCTGTAATCCCAGCACTTTGGGAGGCCAAGACAGGCGGATCACGAGGTCAGGAAATCGAGACCATCCTGGCTAACCTGGTGAAACCCCGTCTCTACTAAAAAATACAAAAAAAACTAGCTGGGCAAGGTGGCGGGCACCTGTAGTCCCAGCTACTCGGGAGGCTGAGGCAGGAGAATGGCGTAAACCCGGGAGCCAGAGTTTGCAATGAGCTGAGATCTGGCCACTGCACTCCAGCCTGGGCGACAGAGCGAGACTCCGTCTCAAAAAAAAAAAAAAAAAAATTGAGGCTATGTATCTGGTTTCCTTACAGTTCCCTCTTTTAGGACTATTAATATCTAAATGAATTAGTCAGTCATTTCTCCTACCTTCTCAATCATATCTTTCTTTTGAATTAAAACTAAACCAAGGAAGACAGGCACTAATATCTTCCTCTAACTTGCAAAGGTATCTCCAAGGAAAAATCAAGAATTCTTCACATGTTCTACTTTTGGAAAAGTAGATATTCAATAAATATACAGGTAAAGTTACAGTGTTTCAGAATTTTCATAACTGAAAGGAATTTGGGGGTGGAGGTTGATGGAGGAAAGTGTTGCCACATCCACTGCAACCTTCTTTATGACAAGCACTGTAGTAGGCACTCCACATAATTTTTTCATTTAATACTCTCAAAGATTATATATGGTAAGAACTGTACTGTTTTAGTCTCATTTTGCAAATAAGAAAAATGCAAATGATATAGGTTAAACAACTTCCCCAAGATGGAAGAATATAACAATAATAATTTACATATCCAGTATGCAAACTCCCCTCAAGATACTCCATCAACAGTCTACATTGCTTCTGTCCCAGCTCTGTAATTTGTAATAGAAATACTTCATCCAGAGCCTGTACTTAACTGGGGTGGTTTATCTTATATTCATACAACAATGTTTTTCTCACTTTCTCTCCTTTGTATTCTCTCACCCAAAGCCCTCTACAGAGCTGCCAGTCTCATACTTCTATATTTTCATACAGCCAAATACTATCTTTAACATCCCCTCTCCTTCCTAAAACATCTATATCTTTAAATAAAAAATAGACTGTGTTGCTCTGTACCAATTAGTAGGCCCATCCTTCCAAGCCCTCTTGTAATATGTGGAGCTTCATGTTTACACAGAGTAAAAGAAGCATGTCTATTTTAACAGATTAAACTTTGGTTTGAAAATGATGAAAATAAAGCTTGGAATACTATGCTGATCAAATTTCCCTTAAAGTTGTATCAGTAAATCATATTCCCCCTTTTTTCTCCCTCAGCTCTTTTCCTGGAAATTAATATATCTTATTATTCTTTATTGGAAGATGCAAAGACCACGGCCCAGCACCTTTCTATGCATCATTCTAATGTTGGTAGCTCCTTACCTAAATTGAAAACAAAACCAAAAAGTAAAACAAAACCTCGAGGTTACTAGCTCTGGGATCTTGAGTAAGTCACCTTTTCCACCTTGTTTCCTCAGCTGTAAAATGAGGATTAATAGTAATACTTACTTGACAGGGTTAAGAGGATTAAAGTGAATTGAATAATCTATAAGAAACTGCCATATGAACCATAAATTTAATGATTATAATGATGATTATGATGGTTCACAAGGCCACAACTCCATTTGTAATCAACATACAAAATCAAATATCTAAATGTGCAACACTCAAGTAACTAGAGGCTTTTTACATCTATAAATGGTGTTGAAAATTTTAAGTTTCCCAGATTGCCAGGTTTCATCTTTTTCCCATGGCAGAAAAGTCTAGGTTGGATAAGGTGGTTTCTGTCATTTTAACATTTGCTGAAACTTTTTCTCACTAGATTTGGTGCTTTCCCTGCTGATAGTGGGCACAGGGAGCCAGAATCTAGGACTTGGCTTGGTGGGAACCAGTCCTGAGCTGCCTTCCTCCTTGAGGAACAACATTAGTCTGAGATTCTAAAATCAGGGTTCACTTTCTCAGGCAAAGGAGGGTGGTGCAATATGGAAGCTGGGGATATGCATTCCTTCTCCCTTCCCTACTGATCCTGCAATATGGAAGTCTCTGTGCTCAAAGTGCCCTCCATCCTCTATTGCTTATTGCTCCACTAATTTCCAATTTGGTGGAGTTAAAAAGAAATACCTCTGGTGGCCTTAAAGGTCAAAGGGAGCTGTGTGGTCCTTCTCACCAAAACCTGGCTGTGGCAAAGCTGAACAGAATGAAGAGAAGTTTTGAGTCATTATGGGAAGGGGAGGAGCAAACCATCCCTAGGGAGTTTGGAACAAAGTGCTTTAAGCAGCACCGAAGCACTGGGTAGCAGGGTGGGAGGACAAAAGGGGTCAGGAGGTAGAAGTAAGGCTCAGAAACGAGGCCCTCAGATAAACACATCTCTTTCACTTGCATCCAGTTTTACCAAGAACCCACTCTTGTCTCCTTCTTGCCTCCTTATATAACAAGAGCAGCACCACCGGATGCTAGGACAATAAAAATGTCTGCCATCCTCACAATCATCCTCTTCCCCATTTGTTATGTGCTTACTGGGTAGCAGGCACTGTGCTAAGCACTTTATACTCATTGTTCATCAAATTATCACAACACCGTAGATATCATTAGCCTATTTTGCACTTGAGAACACTGGGGTCCAAACGTTTGATAAAATATTCATGGTCATACAAATGGTAAGCACAGAGCTGGAATTTGAACATAAGCCTGCCTGACTTCAGGGATTCTAAGCTTTTAATTATTAGGAGACATTGACACTAGTTTAACTCTTCTCTTCTCTTTTATTCCCTCCACCTATCCACCCCCTAACTTCCTTCAACCAAATGAGGCCAGTTTACATAGCCACCTTCTGAGAAAAGTTACCACAGGTGGTTTCTGCTTCGTAAGTTGCTGGGTTGGTTTTGTGGCCAACCTTGTGTCCTGAGACCATATGATCTTGGCCAGAATAGATTGTTCCAACAACTGCTGCTTAAGCCAAAGTCAACTATAGGCTGGACTTGCATTATCTCATTTAATCCTCATAAAAAAGCTTTAAATTAAGTACTAATACCAATTGCATTTTACAAGCGGGAAAACTGACATTCAGATAACTTAACTTACCTGCCTAAGGTGGGACAGCTAGTAAGAAGCAAAACTATGATTGCAAGGTAGGTTTATCTGAATGCTTGAACACTGTTCTAACTCCCATTTTTTCAGAGATCAATAGAATGGGCCTTGAACAAGCGATGCTCTTGAATGCAAGTTGTTAACAACTAAGAGAAATTGCCCAGACACTGCAACAGGAGATGCCAACAAAGTAACAGAGTCAGAGAAGAGCTGAGTCTTGGGAATGAAAAAGTGATGAGGGGATGACTTCCACAGTGGCTATCTGGTCAGTGGCTATCTGGGATTTCCACTCCGTGAGTCTCTGATATGCAGCCTTAGAACGTGTTGCCTGTGTTTCCTGATTTACCCATGTGGGTCTGTCACCCTCATCACCTCAGGTAACAAAGTCCATTCCTTGCTACTTTATGCCTCACACATACACTCCCTTAGGCCTAAACTCCCTGCAACACCACTCCTGCCAAACCCCCATGATTGTCCTGGTCTGATGGAGTGAAGTAATGAGAGACTTGGAGCCTTGTAGACCCGAATGCTCGTATCTTGCCACTACCCCAGCCTCCAGCTTTACTTCCTCCTCCAATGGGTAGCTCTCTCTCCTCCTTCTTCATTGTCTGCCAGCCTGAGGGAAAAGAGTACTGAGGCCGATGGGTGTTTTCCAAAAGGCCCTGGGTACACCGGATGTACACTAGATGTTTCCTGCGACAACAGCAAGACAAAAGCAATGGGCATGCAGAAAGCCATATAGCAATTTGTCTCTGGAACTGCTACTTCCTGGGTCCACAAGGTCTTGGGGTGACTAGGAAACACAGCCCAAGTTTTTCTCCCCAGGCCTTCACACTCTACAGTTATCCCCATTCTCTACACAAGACAACAGAGCTCACAGGAGTCCTCATGTCACTGAGCTTGGCTAGGGCAAACAGAGAGTGGTTGCTGGTGAGAGACTGCTGAAAATGCTGGCAGCAAGCCACATAAGACATTTTTAGTGGCCCCATAATGTCTATATACTCTAATGAACTTGTATTTGTGAGCAGCTGGTGCTACATCATTAGATGTCATATGTGACAGGCTGTTCTGAGAAAGATCCAGGAATACAAGAAGCTGGATTTCCTGACTTTAGTGTCCCTGGGTTTTTAATGCCTACCCTATCTTATGGGTAATTTGGCAAATGGTCACATTGCTACCCTGATCTTTTCTACAATTAAAAAAAAAGAAAAGAACAAGCAAAGTACCTGTATACAAAGCATCTTACTACATGCCTCCTGCAGGAAGGCAGGATATAGTAATCAGAAAGAGACAAAAGAAAAAAATGACTAGGAACCTATATTTTTGCATAGATTTTCTACCTGCTTTCACACCCCACCTCTTCCCAGGCCACTAGCTATTCTAGTTCTTGGTCACCAAATTTGCCTCATCTCAAAATTAGTTTCTCTTTCCCATAATCAGTAGTATCTAGAAGCTGAGTTCCCCAGGCAACCATGAATACTTGTTATTCTTTCTGCCATGTGACTTGCCCTAAAAATAAATTCAAATATTTTTCCTACATCAAAATGCCAGGAAGAACTGGATACTGTTTTGAAGAAGTGGACACTGTTGTTTTTTTTTTTTTTTTAAATGCCTACCTATGAAATAGAGAAGGCCTAATGCTACTTAGCCAAAATTTTTAGGAATCCTAAGAAAGTCCTAACATAGAAGGAAATATAAAAACCTGGGTGTTATCCTATCTTGAAAATGGGACAAGCAAAGAAGGGGTTGGGAAAAGAGAATTAGAACAAGCTGATACACACATGTTCACACAAATCCAGACCAGTAGAATTTGTTTTTCTTTTTAGAAAGGGAGTAGCAAAGAAAAGAGTGCGTGTTTGCTCTGAAGCTCAGTCAAGATTTTGCCACTTTCCTTTGAAATGCCCCGTTGATGTGCCAGCCAAGGACCCTTAGAGACCTCCATTTGAAGCTGAAAGTACTTGAAGCCAATTAACAAAACAGATTTGCTTTCTAGTCTCATGTGACTCTGGGGTGGGTGACCTTTTGGAAATCATAGACAAAGTCTCCATTTAGAGCTCGGGTGATGACTCCACTATACAAATCATTGTGAATTAGAGAGCTTCCAAATTAAACTAGATTCAGCAAATAGGACAGCGACAATGGTAACAATGATACTCATAAAACTACATTTAGATGCTCTCAGAAACAGTTTACAAAATTCATTTATGTCCACTCTCTTTTTTGATCCTCAAAGAAACTCCCCAGGACACAAAGGGTACATACACTACACACACACACACACAAACACACACACCACTCCCATTTTACAGGTGTGCAAAAGCTGAAGCTAAAGAGCAAAGCAACTTGCCCACCCTGTATGTGGCTGAGTGTAAAATTCAACCAAGGCTTCTACTTCCAGCTCAGTATCTTTTTAACCTAGACATTCTCCTCCCATGCCTCCATCCCATTATCCCCAAGAATCCTGAAACCAGTAGTGATCCAGATGACCAGGAGCTGAAAAAGCAGCCTTAGTACTTTCAGAGAATCAACTCAAAAATAGATAAAAGAATAGAAAAACTGTTGAGGGTGAGGGAAAAGTATTGCTGAGATGAACTAATGCAGGATGAAGTCAATAAGGCAAGGGGGAAAATTCTCTCTCTTCTTTTTCCTTCACATCTTCCCTGTTCATCACCACCTAGCCTAGGCCCCAGGATTTCCTCAAATGGCCCTAACTCTTTTGCCCAATACTGGGTTGTTTTTACCAGGTTCACATGATAGGCTCTGAAAATATTTTAGCTAAACCTTCTGATTAGCCAGGAGCACGTTTCCATTTTTTCCTTGGAACTACTAGCCCCAGTTATATTCATTTTTACTACCTCCTTCGACACATGTTCCTTATATGACATAGTCTCTGCATCCTTCCCCATTCTGGACATACCCACCCAGTTTGTCAATATCTCACTTCAGATGTGATACGAAAAAGGAAATGAAAAGTGATTTTCAGTTCTTCACTCAATAAATCAACCAAAAAGTAAATAAATATATACTGAATCACAGGAAACATCTTAGAATGATAGAATACTCTGTATAATTAATATATCTTAATAGGGCAATTTAAAAAGTGTTGTTGTAAGGGTAAACAAGGTGGTAAAAGTCAAGCACTTAGCACAGAGCCTGGCACATTAGTCTTTTACAGATCACTGCAAACCAATGCCTTCATGGCACTCTATCTGCAGTATTATCTTCAGCTCAGAGCAGTGTATTTTGGAAGTGGCATTAACAAATTGGAGGCAGAAGTTCTAAAGAAGAGAAAGGAGTTTCTACTCACAGAACTCTCATCAATAATTTGTCCCTTTCTGTTCACCCTTATCCAGCTCTGCCCTGCCTTGGTGAAGGCATAACGGGCTTGTTTCCTGAGGCTCTGTCTCACCTAATTCCTGGAATATATTATGGGCATTTTTGCGTTAGTGGGAGAGCACCTGAAAACCCACCATCACTCCCATGCCTGGGGTCAAGTGTCCTGGAATGAATTTAACATCACCTATGGGAGAGTCTGGGCAAACCTCCTTGGCTAAATCCATTCCAGAGTATATAACACAATTGTGAACTTCGGTCTGGCTACCAAGGTCCTGGCCCTTTTTTCGTTTCCACCCTTAAGACTACAACCTCACCTAAACTGTTGACCAAATTAGTAGGAGACTGGCTCCCTATGCTGATTTTTTTATTTTTTTATTTTTTTATTTTTTAATACCTACGGGTACACAGTAGGTATCTATATTTATGGGGTACTTGAGATATTTTGTTACAGGCATGCAATGCGTAACAATCACATTAGGATAAATGAGGTATCCACCACCTCAAGCATTTATCTTTTGTGTTACAATTAAATTGTACTCTTTTAGTTATTTTTAAATGTTCAATTAAATTATTATTTTCTATAGTCACCCTATTGCAGACCAATGCAACAGGTTTGATAGCACCCTGTTGTGCTATCAAATACTAGCTCTTATTCATTCTTTCTAATTATTTTTTGTACTCACTACCCATCCCCTTTTCCACTCTACCCCAGCCCCCACTACCCTTCCCAGCCTCTAGTAACCATCCTTCCACTATCTCTCTCAGTTCAATTATTTTAATTTTTAGCTCCCACAAGTAAGTGGGAACAAGTGAAGTTTGTCTTTATGTGCCTGACTTATTTCACTTAACATAATGACTCCCAGTCCTATCCATGTTATTGCAAATGACAGGATTTTATTGTGTTTATGGCTGAATAGCAGTCCATTGTGTATATGTATCACATTTTCTTTATCTATTCATCTGTCGATGGACACTTACGTTGCTTCCAAATCTTAGCTATTGTGAATAATGCTGCAATGAACATGGGAGGGCAGATAGCTCTTCTATATACAGATTTCCTTTCTTTTGGGTGTATATCTAACCATGGAATTGCTGGATCGTATGCATGCACTGGTTTTAGTCCGCTCCTGTCACATAAGGTCTGAATTCAGTTTCCTATGTCTCCATGGTGCTAAGACAGACTTCCCTGACCAATGATTTGGACACAGACCAAGAATGTACTTCCCTGATGCCCCTACGGCTGGACCCCACAACTAGGATCAAAGTCCTTGAATACAGTCATGACCTGCATCAAACATGAGTTTGTTCGTCTACTGGATGCAACGATCTGAATTGCCTGGGGCAGCTTCCTTTCAGTCTTCCATTTGCAAAGAACTTCAGGCATATTTCATGTCTATAGATATTCTATTTATACCAACAGGGAGAAGGGAAAAAATTACAAAAAGCAGACATATAGACTCATAAAGCAAAACAGTTTGTAAAAGATTTAGTGTAGTGGCAAATAGTTCTAAAAACTTTAATAGACCTTGAGGTCATTGCTGTTTTATAACTTCACTGATTCATTTTTGAATATAATATACAGTACATATTCATGTACTCATTCAATATGCATGTGTGCAGTGATTTGAATCATAGTTGCCTATAATATGCTTGGCACTGCCTACAAATATAAATAAGATTCATATTTATAGGGCCACATATTTATTCATACTTAAAGGGCCACAAAAATTAATGTTCGATGGACACTTAGGTTGCTTCCAAATCTTAGCTATTGTGAATAGTGCTGCAATGAACATGGGAGGGCAGATGTTCAATATCATCACCTCAACCTATCAAATAAAAGTTTTTATGTTTGGTATGTTCTGTTAAAGATGAGAAGTATGCAATATACCTCAGTAGATTATATAATTCCATCCAACAACATCACCTATAATTGGCATAAAATATAATATGTGAACTTCATTTCTCTGGGTAACAGCAGTATTAGGCTTGAGTCTGGTATTTAGGTCTGGAATATACCTCTGGCCCTCCTAGTTGTATC